GGGGTCTCGCTCTTGCTCAGGCTGGTTTCGAACTCCTGAGCTCAAACAATCCGCCCGCCTCGGCCTCCCAGAGAGCTAGGATTACAGCGTGAGCCACCGCGCCCGGCCCTGGCTTCTTTAAATTCTTAAATGCGTTCCTTGAAAATAAAATTTATATTACTATTATAAATGAAAAAATCAGTACAGTTTTCCATAATAGAAGGTAAACTTAATAAGTATACAACAATCATTAGAGTGAATAGACAACCTACAGAATGGGTGAAAATACTTGCATGCTATACATCCGATAAAGGGCTGGTAAGTAGCATCTATAAAGAACTCAAGCAAATCAGCAAGGAAAAAATCAAACAACCCCATTAAAAAGTGGACAAAAGACACGAACAGAAACTTTTCGAAAGAAGATAGACTAATGGCCCATAAACATATGAAGAAAGGCTCAACATCTCTAATTATCAGGTAAATGTAAATCAAAACCACAATGAGATATCACTTAACTCCAGTGAGAATGGCTTTTATCAAAAAGTCCCAAAACAACAAATGCTGGCATGGATGCAGAGAGAGCAACACTCAGACACTGTTGGTGGGACTGCAAACTAGTGTAACCTCTATGGAAAGTAGTATGGAGATACCTCAAAGAACTAAAAGTAGAACGTACCATTTGATCCAGCAATCCCACTACTGGGATTATATAAAGACATTCTATAAAAAAGACACTTGCACTCGAATGTTTATAGCAACACAATTCACAATTGCAAAGGTGTGGAAACAATCCAAGTTCCCATCAATACATAGTGGATTAATAAAATGTGGTATGTATATATCATGCAGTACTACTCAGCCATAAAAAAAATGGTGAACATTATAATACCTTTTGTATTAACCTGGATGAAACTGGAGACCATCCTTCTAAGTGAAGTATCACAAGAATGGAAAAATAAACACCACATGCACTCACCATTAAATTGGAACTAATTGATCAACACTTAAGTGCACATATAGAAATAATATTCATTGGAAATCAAGTAGGTGAGAGGGGGAAGAGGGTATGGGTAAATTCACGGTTAACAGGTATAATGCACACTATCTGGGGGATGGGCACATATAACTTTGACTCAAACAGTACAAAAGCAATTTATGTAACTAAAACTTTTGTATCCCTGTAATATTCTGAAATTAGAAAAAAATGAAGTATTCGGGAAAAAAAAGAAAATTGGGAAAATACTAGTACCAACAATTATGAGAGTTAAATGATTCAATATAAAAAAATAAGTATACAAAAAAACCCCAACATTTTAATGTTCTAGCAAGATGCTGAAGTCTGAGTCCTGTTTTATCTTTGTTAGGAAGTGAGATTAGCAAGACAGAGAATTTTAAAGAAAATTAGCACCAAAGTGAAATTTTCTCCTTGATGCCATCAAGTTTGAAAGAATTGAAAAGGGAATAATTTTCTTACTGTAATTTATAGCATTTAATTCTGTGTTCCAATACATCCTAAATTTATCCAAGTTTCCAACTAAAATGATCTCATCAGCAAATATTGGAAAATTGTAATTTAATGGAAAAAGTTTTGGATTAAGACTCAGATACATGAGTTGCAGGCCATACTCTGAGGCTCCCAGTTATATTACCTGGGAAAGTCATTTAATTTCAGTTTTTTTCTTTATCTAAAACAACCACAACATATTATAGAATGTATTGAAAACATCACTTTATGTAACCCTCACGATGACTGGAATAGGTATTATAGAACAAGAAACAAGCTCAGAAAAGCTAGGCTTCTAGTTCCATATTCAAAGCTTATTTCCTAGACTATGCTACAAAGTGGCAGTGTTAAAGTATGTGATTTTTCATGCCTCTTCTAGCTCTAAGGGCTATGATTTGAATCCAAATTTATCACCTGCTTAAGGTATATAATGAAGAATCATACTCCCTAAGGTTAATTTGTTCAGATTTGTAATTCTGCATTTATCCCAGTAGGTGGCACCAACCACATCCAGGCTTCAAGTCCGCAAATAGTGGTAATTCAGGAAAGGTGAAATGCTGTGGGAAGTGATTGGCCTTTTATTACCCTTAGGACAAAATGTGCCACATTTGTATATTAAATTAAAAAAAAGAAAAAAAAACTATTTGTTGTGTGACATGCTCTGTGGCACCAACGTGTATTATTGGCAGTCTTGATTAGACCATATTAAACTCAATGTTCTGCCGCACAAACTTTACCGATTATACTCCCTGAACTACAGTTCCCTCCATTCCCCAGAATGGTCATTGCCCACTTCCTCCACAATCCTAGGCTAATATTGTTTCTTTCTACCACAGATAAATCAAAGAGTTGGAGCACTGAAATAACAATTAGTTGGGCAATTATACAAGGTGGTGCTTATTGAGTACTTAATAGTGTTCCCGGATAGTGTTCCCTTTCCTCTAGTTTCGAAAGAATTGAATTTCACAACTCGGTCTTAGAGAAATGGTACAATGTAATTTTGGACACACTTCCCAGTATATCAGGGTACAGGTCCTTCTGTTCTAGGCATTTTCACGTAGAGGAAGGGTTTACTCCATTGCTCTTGGCCAAGAATCCCTCCTCCCACTGTACTGTGTGCTGGTTGGCTGAGTTGCAGTGGTGTGATCCATTTGGCTGGCAAAATACAATCCTGTGTTAATATTACTCACTTTGTTACACTTCAAGTAACTCCCTACTTGCAAATTCCCTTGAGAACCAGGATGTAGCCTTACCATTGTCAGTCTCATTTCTTTAGCTTACTGCATCACCTAGTCTGTTGTTTACACCTAGGGTGAAGTCTTTCCTTTTGCTCTTTCCAGAGACAGGTGACATTAGAAGGAATTTACTTCCTCACCAGTGTAAAATTATAATTTGACTCAGGGTGTATGGCAGCCCCTCCTAAGCTTTTGTAGAGCCCAGAAAGCAGTTTGTGGACTTTTGCAGTCACCTGTCTTAGAGCACATAGGCAGTAAGCAATCTGAATTCAGCTGAATTTCCCATCACATCTGCTGGTGTTTCAAGAAGAGGTTTATCTTCAGCAATAGTACAACTTGTGATAAGACATTTGATTCTGACAGCCTTGCTTTTCTCTCCTCCCCCTCCCCCAACTCTTAGCATTTACTTGAAGCTCTTCTAAGAACCTGAAGGTTGTATGTGAATGTTATGCTACACTTATAAATTCAGATGAAAGCTCAGTGAGGTGGGAAATGAATACTCTTGAGACTTTATTTACTCTGTAACTCCCTCTGTTCTGCCAGCAAGTCATTCCTTCTGGCTTTAACCTTTACCTCACTGTAATATTGCTTTTTCTGAAATACACTTCAGCAGGTGCTGCTGAAAAGAAAATAGTAGTGTTAAGCTAAAATGCTGAAAGGGCAAGGGTGGAAAACCACAGCTAGCTGAAATCTGAGTCCTTGATAAGGACTGTATTGCTCTCAAGTACAGGATTTTTTTAAGCTTTGAGGCAACCAGAACTTTTTGAATTTCAAAGTTTGGTTTATGGCATTAGCAGCTTATAAAGTTAATTTCTAAACTTGGTAATTCTTTCACTTCCCGTAAAACCCCACAGAAGCTCAGGGGAAGAATAAAATTCTTTTTTTCCCTAAATATAAATTTTGAAGGTTGGGAAAAAAGTAAACTGTATCCTTATTGATATTAGGATTATTTTTGTCAACTCAGATAAATGACTGAGGTAAAAATATCAATCAATGGAGGTTTATTAAGCCAAGATTTTAAAGACAAACCCGGGAAAAACAAGAACCACAGACAAGCTGTGGCTGTTTTTTCCGAAGGGGAGGTTGGAACCTTCAGCATTTTAAAGGCAAAGGAAAAAGGTGGGGGCGAGGGCTGATTAGGTAGTGGCTACATTCTTGTGAACTCAAGAAATCTACATTTTACAGAAAACAAGAGAGTGAAGGAAGCATCGATTATGTAGATGTCCCTGGGTAGGTGGAAGAATGCCTGATTCTGTCTCCAGTTCTGTTACCTGTAAGATAAACTTGTAATTCATTATTAGTGTGGAATCAGATCTTTAGTTTGAGGTGCTAGACATAGGTATAACTTGCATGTCCTTGCTTATGGGAGGTTAGCAAGAAATTTCCTTAATGAATGATCTGTGGGGGTGAGCTCCTCACAGGTGGATGAGGTCATGATATTCTTTTTACATTTTAATGGATAACAATAGATTCCCCCTGTGGGACATGACTTTCTCAACAGAAAAAAGTTCCACCACTCTAACTTTAAAAATATTGTTTGATGAAGTTATTTTCTAAAATGACAATCAGAAAATTCACATCAATGCTAATACCAGAGTCAGTCATACAGTGATACAATTATATGATACTGTGATGTAAACTGCTTTGCAACTTAAAACTAGGTTTTTTTTTTTTTCTTCTAAAAAGAAGCTCTCATTTTCCTAATGTTTCCCATTAGGCACCATGGGCACTATAACTAAGGGCAGAACAACGACGAGCAAGAATGAACCCCATGTGGTGAGATTATACTTTCTTTTAAAAAAATCATCTTAAGGGCTTGAATAGATAGTGGGTACAGATTTTGGGGATGCATGTGTTAACACATATTCATTCTAATTTAGTATTTTTAGGGGATTGGTAAAGTGAATCCCATGGCACTCAATGTTTTAACTGTCTTTTTCCCGTTTTTTTTCCTGTCTTAGAGAATTCTAGGTTCAAAGATCTACAAAGAACAACAAAAAACTAAAGGAAGTCAGTTTGATAATGTAGGAGGGAGGCGCTTTTTTCTGAGGTCACTGCCAGATGAAGAAGCACTGAAGGATTAGAAGGCTTTCACTCCATTTGCTTTGGACAGATTTAAAGACTAGGCACAGTCATTTGTGTTAATTAAAATCTCTTAAACCTTTGTTTTAGTGCTGTTTTCCCTTCTCTCCCCACCAATCTGGGTGGAAATGTTAGATGCTTGGCCTTAAGTATGTCAGGAATTTAGTCATTTAGGGATTGTAAACAGCCTCTGATTATTTTGATAGCTTTTGGATTTGAAATGACTACATTTCAAAACCACATTGTACGGTATGTTGTTAATAAGCCCATAAAATGGAGCTCCTCTCCACCTCTGAAGTATTATATTTAATTCTGGGCAGATCCACCACTGGCAAATGAGCAAAAGCAGGTACAAAATAAAAAAATTAAATGCCATAAACTCCTCTTACTCTCACCAACCACATCCAACTGCCCTGTTGATTTGGCCTCCTTGTTATCTATTCCTTGAATATCACCTACCTTCCCAGTATAACTGTTTTTGTTCAGGCCCTACTTCCTGCCTGGATTACCATAGCCTCTTAATTGGTTTCCCTGCTTCCACTCCCTCTAATTCATCTTCCAAACTACCACTGAAGCTATCTTTTCTAAAAGAGAAATGAGATCACGTCACTCCCCTACTGGTTTCTCACTTACTTTAGTATAAAGTCCAAACTCCTTCACAGATCATAAATGATCTGCTTCCTGCCTCCCTCCCCAGTCTCATCTTTCATTATGTCCCTCTTCTCTCATATATCCTACATGGAGCTTAACAGAACTATTTACAGTTCCCCTGATATGCCACGAGTCCTATTATCTCCATGCACAAAGCCGAAAGATTCTTCTCTCCTTGTCTGCTTGACCACTGCCTATTTGTCTTAAGGACTGAGTTTGGTGCCCTTCTATCCCAGTGATTCTCAATCCTAGTGGTGTAGTATAAACCCCTTGGGAACTTTGAAAAATAGCATTTCACTGGGTCCCTCCCCAGATCATTTAAATCATGATCTCTGAGGGATAGGGTGAAAGGATCTGTATTTTTAAAAAGCTCTCTGGAAAATTCTGGAGTACAACCAGGTTTGAGAATCACTGCTCTAGGCTCTCTTATTTCTGTCATAGGATATAATGAACTATATTGCAATTATTGGTTTACCAGGCTATCTCCTTCACCTGATGGTGAGCTCTTTGAGGACCAGGATTACGTCTTGTTTATCTTTTCATTTTGACCACCTAACACAGTGCCTGGGATTTAATAGAGGCCCAGTAAATGATACTGTCTAAGGCCATGGAAAGTTAATTTCCAAGTCCCAGGTCTCTTGATGTCCTGCCTTATGTAAGTTACCACTGGATTATACTGTAGTTCCTGAGATCATCAGATATTTTCTTTTACTCTGATTAAATTGTCATTAATTCCTTATCTAGCTTATTTCATGCATTAGTTAACAACAAAAAAAGGGAAGGACATCCGAAAAAAGGGAGGGCCTGGTTGCACATTAAAATTTTCCCAGAATTTTCCATATGGGAAAGTTGATTTGTCACAAAATGCTTCAAAATCTGTAGGAATTCCTTATACTGTCTGGTAATAAGAAAAGCCAACTAATTCAAAATCTTCTTTCTCCCTAGTGTTAGATGGCTCTCCCCTCTGTGAGCCACAGTGCAGCCATATTGTGAACAGCAGTCATCTTAAAGGCAGGCTGGCCGCAGCATGGCCTATGACGAAGAGACCTATGAGCCAGCTAAGTATGCATTAAGAACAGGAAAACAAAGTAATTAACTTGTAACTGATTGTTTAAATTCTCCCCATGTAGTTAAATTTTACTATGCTTGCCTAATTCATGAAAAAATGTACCTTGGCTTAACCAATGCTATCTGCTTCTGTAAACTCACTTGCCTAAAGATTGTAATCAAACCAGGTGGTCTGAAGCTGGTCCCAGGCCCCCGAGTTAATGGAAAAAAGGACGTTCTGATGTCATCTACATCCTGTTATGCTGTAGTATGACCTGTTTTTTCTCTATATACTAAGACTGTATAAATTCCCCCTTTTCTCTACAGCTTAGCTGCCACTCTGTCTCTGGACTCTCTGCCGGAACAGGGGTGGTCGCTGGCCAGCTAATAAAGACTCACAATTTGGCTCAATAGCTGGCCTTCTAATAAAGATTCATAATTTGGCTCAGTTTCGGTCTTAGGTGGTCTTTTCTCGCACTCCGGACCATAACACCTAGGTCAATTTAAACCTTTAAAGGTGTATTTTAAAGGTGAATTTTTAAAAATGTACTTTTGGACTGGAAAAAGTTTACAAGAAATCACAGAATTTTGGCATTAGAAGGAACTGTAAGTAAATAAAAAGTTCCTTCACTTTACACAAGAAGAAACTGGAGTTCAGATACATCGAAAGGGTATCAAAAATCTGATAGTTAATTGGGGCCAGACCTGGTTGCCAGAGGCTAGGTATTAATATTGCCAGTTCATATTCCAATCTAACTCCTATCTTTCTTCTCCTAACCACACAAATAACAGGTTCTAAAGCTCTGAGTTGATCAGTTTAATGTTCTACCAACCGAGTTAGCTGAGTATGTAATTTACATTCTGTTTTAAGAAAGCAACCTCTGGGCCTGGCACGGTGGCTCACGCCTGTAATCCTAGCTCTCTGGGAGGCCGAGGTGGGCGGATTGTTTGAGCTCAGGAGTTCGAGACCAGCCTGAGCAAGAGCGAGACCCCGCCTCTACTAAAATTAGAAAGACATTAATCGGACAACTAAAAATATATACAAAAAAATTAGCCGGGCATGGTGGCGCATGCCTGTAGTCCCAGCTACTCGGGAGGCTGAGGCAGGAGGATCGCTTGAGGAGGAGTTTGAGGTTGCTGTGAGCTAGGCTGACGCCACGGCACTCACTCTAGCCTGGGCAAAAAGAGTGAGACTCTGTCTCAAAAAAAAAAAGCAACCTCTGTACTTTAATCCCTGAGAGACTTTGGCAGTCCTGAGAGATTTTCCAAGTCAATTGGATTAGAGCAATGAGAACAACAAACAGGAATATAAAATCTAACTGTACCACTGACTACGTTGAACTAGTTATTTAACCTCAGGGCCTTAGAGTCCCAATTTTAAAATTGGATTAAAAGAGCACCATTTGGAAGTTTTAAAATTGTTTTTTACCACTATAATGGGTTTTGATTAATGTATGATCTGTCCCCACTGCTTTTTTTTTTCTTTTGGTTAACTAATGCATGAAATAAACTAGTTTACTTGCTAGCTGAGGTTTGTAACTTCCTAAAAAATGAATCATTTGCCATCCCCAAAGTATCGAAATTGTAAGTTCATTATCAGTCAGGCTTATCATCTTTTCTTCAAATTCTCTAAACCTTTCTATTTCTTCAAAACACAAAACTGAAATATTGTAGCCTTTTCTTCTACCTTTTTTTAATACTTTACATTGGATTCTGACTTTCACCTGTGGCAGTACAAAGTTATCAGAGTGGCTGCGTATGCACGGGTGTCTGCATTTTAGTGAATTCAGGGTATAGATCTCACCTTTGTGAGTACAGAAACATTTGGTCAACTAATCCAAAAGATCAGAGATTCATTCAAGCTACTTAAACTCCAAAGATATTAACTGATAAACCAACTATTAATTTAAATTACAGAGAGGCTATGCCTTCTAATTTGGTAGGAATATGTCTATATTTAAGATATTCCTATCTCCAAATCAAATTATAGGAAACTGAATTAGTAATCAGAAAGTATTTGGGGTTGAAACATCATTATTACAGTTTTATTTGGACTCATAGTATTCTAATTATGTTTCTCTGAGAATAAAACCCCTGATATCCTTGACTGTACTTGAGAGATACTTATCAATTTCAAGGTCAACTGAGGAAAAACTTTGTCCCATTATCAATACATTTACAAACATGACTTTGGGTAGTACTATTTTTGTGGCTTATCTCATTTATTTTATCTTGACTTTCTAACTATTCAGAGGATATCTGCTAACATTTCACCCCCCAAAGTTGTCTTTTTGCAATGACCACAATAAGATTAGTTATGTTTGTCACACTTCTTTCCTAAATGAAGTAAGGGGAACAACAGCCTGATATTTTCATCTTAGGTATAGAATTGTAATCATCAAACAGGGCAAGTGACATTTTGCCTTGTTCTCTTAGATCCAGGTAAAAAATCTATTTTTAGTGTTGTTTATGTGAAGTATGGCCACCTTAGAGGGTGTTTCTGTTTATAGGTAGAGGCTTCTGCAATCTGTTGTACACCAAGCCAAATTTCTAACAGCTTCTCTGGCACCTTGGGAGGAGCTTGCATTGCTACCAATTCGAAGTCTCTGTTGCTTCATATGTTCTGCATTTAGTCATCAAATATTAGGAAATGGGAAGAAAATAAGGTTCTGTGTTAGAAAGGGAGACTTGCTCTGCAACCAATCAATCCCACAGCAGGAGATACACAGGCAGATAAATATGAAATATAATTATTACATGGTAAAATGAGAATTTTCAGGAAAACTGAAAAATCCATCTTCTCTGCTTCTTTTAATAATTCACTTATGCTTCTAACATTTCAAACTTTTACTTAAGGTTTATTTTAAATATAAAACATGATATAAATGTTTCTATAGACCATATTTCCCCAAATTATCAGTCAATCTGGGGAAAATGAAATTACTTTAGTTAACAAAATATTTTTGTTTTGTACATTGTTTTTATAGAAAAAATATTTTGCTAGGAAAGCTGAGCTTTAAGTTTTGGTTACATGGAAACCGATTAATAATAATTTAAGACAAGCATAATGCTTTTTTGATTTTTTAAAAAGTTCACTTAACTTAATCCATGTCAGTTTTTAAGCTTGGGACTATCTTTTCGTGACATACAGACTGAACCCTAAAAACTTTCAAGAAATCAAATAGCTTCTGGAGGCACTTAATATTACTTCCCCATTTAACAAATCTCACTTTCCTTTCCCTTATCTAATAGTCCTTCCTTCCTCTAAGAATACTGCCCTCCTCTTCTACAGTCTACTTTTTTT